CCTTAGGAAGTTTTTCCAGTGTTTTCATTTTGTGAAGGAGCTGATGTTCTAGAGATTCCCCCTCTCTTTTCTAATGTATTAAACATATTGGACATTTTGTGTCCAAAGGTTGATGGAATAAAGATCCCTGAAGTCCCTAGAATATCAGGGATTTGCTTTTCAGAAGTATTAATTAACTATGTCTTCAGTGGACAAGTTTAATGCTTTCACAAATGGGGTGTGGTTTTTAGAACAAGCAATAGGATTAATTATCTTCATCCTTAGATAGCTGTGCTCACAGATGTAACAAAATGGCACCATGATCCTATTTAGGTACTTCGGATCAGGCAGAAGTGGGGTCAGCCTCTGCAAGTACCTCATTTATTGAGTGCCTCAGCTGTGACCTGCGTTAGCACAGAGCGGTACTAACAAGTCATCCATTTGTTCATCATTCCTCACTACCCATTTAGAGCCACATTATCTAAAAAGTTCACAATTGCATGTACCTTTCACAATTACTTTGACCTTTAAAGATATGGCTTCAGTAGCTGGTTCAATTTTGAGACTGAAGATTTGGAACATAGCATACATTGCTTTAACTGTTTCCAAACATGACCTTCATCCCACTTGAGCTATGTTCAGAGATGATGCACAGTTTGATCTTCCTTTTTTCTGGGCCAGACATGTGGTGATGACAGCCAAAATAAACAGTGTTAAAAATAGGTAGCTATAGAAACCCGTTCATTTCATGGATAGTCTTTCTTCTGTAGGTGTAGTTAATAGAGTATATTATTAAAAAGGAGTTTATTCAATGAAAAAGCAGCAAATACAGCGAGGAGCCAGGTACTTCAGAAGTCCTGCACTTCCCTTCCTCTGACAGGATGGCTAGGTGAAGTTGAGGGGGGAGACAACACCATACTTCCACTCTCGAGATACACTAGTACAACAAAAACACTCATGCACTCATCCTGTGTGCATGAGTGAAATGTTTCCTGCCTACTCCACAACAGCTTAAATAATTCTGCTCTCATTGACAGCTTCCGTTCTTCGGACTGTGCTATCCTTTATATGTAGTTGTTACTGCTCCACTTTCTGCCTCACTTTGAATGTTGCTGCTGCAGGCAGCTGCCTACGCTGCCTACGGGCTCCAAAAGTCCTGGGAACTCGGGAAGGATCAGTTATTTATACTTTCCTATACCAGAGGACATACGAAGGTTAGAATTCAAACAACAACAACAACAACCACCTTTAAAATGATACTGTGACAGTATGAGTTAGTGCATTTGGCTATCATTAGCTGGGAGAATGACAAAACTATTCAGAAAATGATCTAACTCCAGCATAAAGGAAGTCTACGTGCAAGAGGCTT